ATATGGTTATTGACCTATATCCAAAATTATCGATATGAGCCACCAAACTACTTGATTTTATCTTAAATTTTTTAGTATAAATTTATTTTATTTTATTTTAGTTTTTGTTCTATATGAAAATTTTTGGATAAAATTCTTTTGTTTAGTCAAATTTATATATAGGAATATGAAGAAAAAGATTAGAAATAATCAAAATAAAAAAAAAAAAGCTTTTAATAACAAAAAGTGAAGAATAATGGTATATTTCAATTATTTTGATTAATTAACCAAATTATCCAATTAATTTTGAATAACTGAAATTATAACCAAATTAAAAATTTGGTTCGGATTGGATATAAAATTCTTATATGAAAATATTTTAAATAACCAAAAATTCAGCTCGGTTTGGACAATTCAAACAAAATGTCGAACCTTAACACATTTGGATTGGAGAAGTTGGAGGAGAAGGAAAGGATAATGAGGGGGGGAAAACACCCTCTGTTGTTTGGATAAAAAATTTAATGGAGGGGAGGGAGATGGAGGGAAATGTAGGGAGACGAAGCCTCTCCCCTCCTTTGTTTTTAATGCCTCCAATTTGAAGGGATTGAAACGGATTACATTATTTAATTTATTTTTGTTTTTAATTTTTTAAATAAATAAATATATATATTATTTCAACTATTTATTTAATTAATAAATTTTAAAAATTTTATTCTTGTTTATTTTATTTTTTATTAAATTATTTAATTAAATAAAAATTTTCCTCTTCTTCACTTTGCTCTATCCAAACAAAACTAATATCAACTTTTTCCTTTCCTTCACTTCTCTTTCCTCTCCTTCCCTTCCCCTTCTTTTCCTTTACTAATGCTTATCCAAACATAGGCTAAGAGTGGGGCAGCTAGGGAGAGTTCTACTAGTAGTGAAGGTAGTAAATGGAAAGGTAAGGGAGAGGAGACGGAGGTGGTGGGAGAAATTCTTGATAAATAAATTAGAGATCTTTTTATTTTTCAAGTAGGCCTTTTAGAGGTGGTGAGTCAAAATGGGGGATGCCCCGTTAGCTTTTAAGTTATTAACTTGGAATTATCGAAACTCCAGGATAACTTCAGCTTTTTTGGATTAACTAGGGTATTCTATCTATCTTTTAGAACAATTGTAGTAATAACCCTAAGACTAGGTGGAATTTAGAGGTAGTTACTTGGTACTTTATTGCATCTGTACTATACTCACTGTACATTACGGATATTAAGAAATAACATTGTAATTCTCTTTGAACTGCTTGCCTCCCTTCCATTGCCCACCCTGACCATTATTAGCTAAGATCTTATGAGATCCAAGCTTAAGTGACCCAAAAAATTAGATGAATAAGATTGCTAAGAGTGGTAGCCAACAAAGGAATTGGAATGTAGGGGCAAGCCCATGAGACCAAGCACTAGCGTGTAGTGTATCGAAGTGGGGTAAGGCTGATGGCTGTGGGGACTTGGTTAACGATGATGGGGTAAGGCTGGTGGTCGTGGGGACTTAATCAATGATGATGGGACAAGGCTGGAAAAAGAAGGAAAAGGAGATGAAGTATTGGTAGTAGAATGTATTGAAGTAATAATGCTATTAGGGTTTTGGAAAGTGGATGAATAAGGAGAAGGGTTCAATGTTAAAGAAAAAGGGTTGAGGACAATTTTGTAATTTTAACTTTTATAAATTACATATCATGTTTAATGTTTATATAGGATGTCACATCATCATTTTTTACAATTGGATTTTTCATGTCATTTATTCAAAGAAAAAATCAGGTCAGTTTGTTAATTAATAGGCCACATTAGCAAAAAGATAATTGAGGTACGAAAAAGAGGCCATAAAGGCAAACTTTAGAGACCAAAAATGAATTTTTTTAAGTATGGAGACCAAAAAGGAGTTTTCCTTCAAAGTAGAGGGATTAAAATGAGATTTTGACCATTTAAATTTTAAACGTTTGTTTGTGGTCTGCTACGACGGACGTAACAAATGGAACCCAATTACCTACTTTTATATTATACTTACAAAGACGTTTATTGCCCAAACCCCACCCCCCAAAAAAAAAGAAAAAAAAAAAAAAACCAAAGACATTTATCGCTGCCTAAATTGATTTTTGGATATTTCTTACCATTTTCTTTTCTGTTTTCCTCTTTCTATGGTAATGTCAAGGATTTTTAAAGGACATATTTTCATAATAAAAATATATAAAAAAATTTATAAAAACTATCATTAATTTTAATATAATTATTAAATAAATAAATTAAATTCAATATTTAATAAATTAAAAATTAAAAATTAATTTTTAATTTAA